AACCCTCACAGTGATGTTCTGTGATCAGTGTTGCTACCTCCAGGGAGCTCCCGTTTTCTGTTTAGCAGTCACCGTCAGAGGACCTACTGTGCGCCAGGCTGTGCTCCAGGCAGTGGGGTCAGGGATTCGTAAGACTAGACAATATCCCTTTAATCTTGATACTTTTATTTGGGGGATGGGCAAGAAATAGACTAGTAACTTGGAGTGACAAGTACTGTACAGAGGACTCGGGGACAGGCCGGTCACGGCGCAAACCAGGCCATCGGAGAGCACGTCTCGAGGAGGGACGTCTGCTTGCGGAGCAGACTCACCGACAGAGGGCCCCAGAGGGGTGGGGCGGCCCCGAGGGGAGGTCGGGGAGCGGGCGAGGGTCCTCTCCAGGGTTCGGGCGAAGCCTGGATTTTATTCTACTGTGGGCAGTCCCGGGAGAGCTGTGGTGAACAGGCTGTGGAACAGTCGGGCTCATCTTTAAGTATCGTTCTGCTCCTGTGTAGAGAGGGGGCCGCAGGGAGCCGAGCAGGGGCCCAGGAGATGGGCGGGCCTTTCCGAGGACGCAGGCGGAAGCTTCCCCAGGACGACGGTCACGGAGGGGCCCGGTCACCCACTGCCCTGTGACTCGGTCTCCGTGAGCCCGAGTTCAGTCTCTCTGCCCCCCACCGGGGCGGACGAAGCCCAGGGAGCCGAGGTGCCATCAGCTTCCACATCGGGTCCCCCAGCAGCAGTATCGCCTTCCTTGTTTTTCCCCAAAACCCTTTTTCGGTCTCGGGAGCAGTTAATGTACAGGCCAACACACCCTAAGTCTACCCAAAAAGGGCAAATGCAGTGAAAAAATCACATTTTCACACAGCTTTACTCACGGGGAAACATCCGCGTGGCCCGTGTCTGACTTGGGCCGGCCGTGCAGCTGCCCCCTGGGGCTGCCCCTCTGGTGGCCTGGCCCTGCTGGCCGCGGGGCTCCCGGGGGGCCCCCACTGTATGGACGTGCAGGAGTGAGGGGCTGCTGCCTGAGGGGCTGGTTCCTCCTCGGTCAGAGTCTCCGGGCCCCCTGCGGTCCTCCCGCTCTGGGCCCTGGCAGGCCAGGCACATCGCAAAAACAGAAGTGGCCGGCCATCCCGAAGGCCGGAGGGACGCCTGGGGCTGGGGTCCAGCAGGGTGCGTGTCTCCGAGAGACCCCTCCTCTGAGAAGGGAGAGGTGGCTGTCGACCCAAAGCAGCGGTATCGACCTTTCCATCTCGTGACACGCACGCCCAGCACTACGACCCCGCGGCACGCCAACAATGCGTTTTTGCTGATATGACAAAAAACAGGCATACTTTTGATTCATTCACACCAGGCCACTATTGTTGTGTTGGCTGTTGTCATTTTTTTGACAGTCTAAGGGAAAAGAGGTCAGCGCCTACACTGAGTAGTCAGGTGTTGCGTGTTTGGAAACTGCTTGGCAGCACGCCGGTTAAAAACCACTGATCTAGTGCATAGAAACCAACACAGAGAGTCAAGCAACATGAAGAAAAAAGGAATATGTTCAAAACCAAAGAGCAAGATAAAACCTTCAAAAATCCTAATGAAGCAAGATAAGTAATTTACTAGATATTGAAAAAACAAAAGCAAACCCCTGAGCCTCGGAGATTAAAACTAACAGCAACAATGCAGAAACCCTTGGTCTGTGTCTTGCGACCAGCGGCTGCCCCGGTCACCGCCCCCACAGGGCACTGCCAGGACGCAGGGCGCCACCATTTCCTAGTTGACGCCGGCGACCACAGCGGGTGCTGAGGACCCCCTGCAGACCAGACACCAGTCAGCTGCTGCCGGACCTTTTCTTAAGGACGAGAAATGCTTCTGGATCCACCCGCAACGCGTGTCTTCAAACTGACGAAGCCTCTGCAATATGTTGGGGACTCACTGGAAACACTTCCCTGGAAGGACCTTGGTCAACAAAGGCAGTTCTCAGTGGTTCTGCTTTTCCAGCGGAGAAAGAGTTGAAGGGTTTTGATCTGGGTGGAAAGAACGGATTCCTGATGCCGAAAACGTTAAAAACAGAAACACACATATTTAAATCCCACAGACTTGGCCTAAAACCAAAAAAAGAGGAGAAAAAGACATATATCAACACAGAAAGCAGTTAACGCCTTCTCTGTATGTGTAACAGTGTAAGTGGTGTTCTTTGAATACAACAAGGGTCCAGAATCGGTGAGTAATGTGGCCGATGTCACACGTCAGATGGCTGTCCTTTCTCCCAATGCAAACACCAGGGGCTTTTGAATGAAGATGATCACTAAGAAATAAAGCCACTGTTCTAGTCCTAAGTTACTGTGAAGTGTCCTGTTTACCTTTACTCCTCTTCTGATTTTTATAGTAGTATTTGCTCATTAAAGCAAATCTGGGAAATTACGAAGATTAAGAAGCAAAAAACGAAAACTGCCCATAAGCCCACCCCCCAAATCCGTGACCTTAACTGTTTTGGTAGATTCCTTTCCAGCTTTTTATTTTAGACACACTTTTTACTTTTAAACAGTTAAGAAACACCATATGTGCATTTTTAACTTTTTCACTTAGCCTTATGCACATTAACATTTTTTCATAGCTATTAACAGGTACAAAATATTACATTTCTAACTAAACCTCCATTTTTAAACATTCAGGCTGCCTCCAGTGTTTTCCTGCCATGAAAGGCACTGAAACTGTGGTGGCGATGATGTCACAGAACAGCCCCGAGAACGTACCCCAGCTCCTGTCCCACTCGAGGCCACTGGGGCGGCTTCCCCCACCTCCTGCACCCACCTGGGTCGCAGGGCAGACGAAAGGCAGACGGACCAGGGAGCCCCCTGGCCCCCCACTGACCAACAGGCAGGAGACCGCAGCGGGACAGCAGAGCCCTCTGGGACTTCTTGTCGTCCTCCATCATCAGCCGTCACCCTCCCCTCCCCCGAAAACCGGAAGTCTATGGGCCAAACTGCTGGACCTGCTCACCACAACCTCCAGCCAACTTCCCCAAAGCGCCTTCGCACGTCTGGAACGTGCCCTGCCCTGACGGGGGCTCACCCCACGCTGCTGTTGGTACTGCATGGGGGGTGGTCTGCAGGGGCCGTGAGCACCCCCCAGCCCGAGTCTTCACGGCAGGCGGGGCGGAGAGCGAGCACTTGCAGCGGGAACCTGAGGTGCCCTTTCCCACCCCGCCCACGGCTGCTGCCCAGCGCTTCTCGGCTTTAGTACCCAAGGCCTCGCCCAGAAACGCTTTTCCGGAGACCGTCCACGACACAACTGAAGGGGAGCGGCGGAGGCCCCTGGGCCCAGTACCAGGCCGGCAGGCACCAAGCCCCAAGGCCCTGGTGTCCGAGACGGGGCGGGGCCAGGCCTGGAGTGGCCGGGTCCGAGGCTCAGCGGCACAGGGAGACCGGATGCTGGAGACGAGCAAAGCCAGCAAAAGCCCTCCTGTCATTCAACCTCCAGCCCACGCACAGCTGACACGGGAGGAATGGGGGCCAGTGCCCCCCAAAGGTAACTATGGTGACGGTGGAAATGAGCACAGTTCGCCCGGATTAGACTCAACACCATGGCCCTTCCCCCCACGCACGGCCTCGCAGGCGACGGCGCAGATCCGCTCTCAGGCCGCAGCCGCTACTGCGCCGCCCGTGCCCTGGGACAAGCAATGCAACACTGGACAAGGCAGGAAAAGTCAAAGGAAAATGACTCCTTTTCAAGAGAGAAAGCAGTGTTGGGACTGTCGGAGAGGGCACTTCGGATAGCTGACCGGCACCTCCAGGCTGCAGTAGAAAGGTGAACAGCTTGTGACACCGGATGGACGGTTTCAGCCAAGCAGTGACTACTCTAGGGAGAAAATGAAAATGCTACAAGAAAATCATGGCAGAAGTGAAGAATGCGCTCAGCTGGCCGATCAACTCCACAGGCCGGGCGGGGGTGGCGGGGGTGGCGGGGAACTGGAAACAGGGCGGTAGGCGTTACCGAAACTGAAACGCAAGGGGCAGAGAGAGGGAGGAGGAACGGAAACCCAGCGGAGCCGCCAGAACCGCGGGTCTCGCAGCCCTGCAGGATGGAAGAACATTCGGAAAGATAAAGACTCAGGATCGTCAGCAAGACGGTGGAATGTGTTGAGCCCTGGGTCCGAGAGCTCCGAGGACTCCGCACAGATTAAATCACAAAGTGAAGGAGGAAGAAAGGAAAAGGTGGAGGTGGAAGAGAACCACACCCGCTCCAGACCCGTGGTGGGAAGTGGCTGAAAACCAGAGACCTGGGAGCAGGTGCCTCCTCGGGGGGGGGGGGGGGGGACAGAGGCCGGAAGACAGCAGAGAGACCTGCAGATGCTGGGGGCGGGGGGGGGGGGGGGCTGCTAACCCAGTGGAAACATATTTCACAACTAAAAGAAAAATAAAGACTTTTTCAAACAAACGGGGAGATGTGTCACCCGCAGTGGCTGGTGACAGACTTTTCAGGGAAGTCCCGCAGCCAGAAGGAAGATGATGCTGGATCGGTACTTGGAATATGGAACCAGACAGGTTCCCAGAAATGGCCAAAAATGAAAGCTTTCTTAGCCTTAAGTGAGTGAAATTATTCTAAATGAATTTTTAAAAATTCACCCTGTGGGCTCCGTTGGCACCCTCAGGCCCCGCCGCCGAGCTGGGGCGCCTTCTCCCTCTGGCCGGCGGGCGGCGGCGGCAAGGGACCCCCATCGCTGCGCCACACTCCAGTCCTGAGGCCCGTGCTCAGCCAGAGACAGCACTTGGACACGCAGCACACGGGGGGCCGTGCGTGGCCCAGGAGGGGCCGCACCCCCATGAACACGAACGGGCCTCCCTGCGCCAGTGAGGAGGAGCCCCCGGGCGACTGGTGAGCCACCAGAGCTCTCTGCCGGCGAGCAGAGGCTTCGGCCCGAGGGCCCCGCCCTCCGTGCGGCCTGTCCCCTGTCCGACCGGCTCCCTCCCTGGCTCACAGGGTCCCCCCCCAACCTCCCCCTGAGTGCCCTCCCTCAGACACCAGCGTCTCACCTCGAAGCGTGACCTTCGCCGTGGGTGTGTGGACACCCTGCTTGTCAGCTGAAGGGCCTTCCAGTCCTGGGCTCCTACAGAGTTTATGTGAAGAACGCAGGCTATTTTCAGCAATTTCCCACATTTATTCATATGATCATATCATTTTCTCCCTTATTTGGTTAATGCAGTAACTTATGTATAATAGTTTAGAATTCTTGGAACAAGCACAACTTGGTCATCATATTTTATAAAGAATTGCTGATCTATTAATTTATCACTTTTCAAACTGTGAAAAGCAGTGTTTACTTTCTTTCCTTTTTTACAAGGCTCCTGCTCCAAAGGTTAAAGGGAGGACACCTCACCGGGACTAAGACGGGAGCAGCCATTTCGACTTTGCAAGGCTGCCGACCACAAGAACGGCACGGCCCCCTTCCAACTGGGCGCGGTCAGGCCGTGCCAGCGCAGACCAGACTCCGTGCGGCCCCGGGCAGAGAGAGCCTTTCTGAGGCTCAAACGCGGCTCGTGGACGCCCTGGGGCCAGGATGCAGGGGCCCGGAGGGATCTGCCAGCGGGCGCAGGGCCTTTCCCAGGCTGGCTCTCCCAGGATACGGGCAGCGAACAGATTCCTGCCACCCACCTGTCACGGCATCTTCCTCATCTGTCCTTGGCTCAGTTGAGAAGCTGCATGGAACCCAGTTGCTAGAGCTGCTTCATCCCCGAATCCTTACATCTGTTCATGAGAAAAGAGAGCCGTCCACATTCTAACCAGAGAACACGAGTCTCCACATGTCCAGCGGCGCCCCGCCTGCTCCAAACGCACGAGCTCTGGCAGACGAGCTTCTGCTGGCCCACCTCACCCCCCCGGATGCCTCCTGTGAGTCCCACCCGGAGGTGGCAGTCGAGGCCGCAGGCACAGGCTAGAGCAGCCAGTGTAAGGGGCCGCTGGTACGCGGTGCTCGTGTGCCCGGCCAGAGTCCACGTACCTCCAAGGCCGCCAGGGCTCCTGGCTCGCGTGCTGCCTTCCCAGGAAAGGTCCTAAGGACAGGGGACACCTGCTCAGTTATAACCGAGTTGGGGGTGACTGGCCCACGGGGCGAGACGTGGCTCTCCAGGGACCCTCCCACGGCTCAGAGTGGCCACGTCACAGGCGAGGAGGCTGCGCTGCTGGCCGGCTCATGCCTCTGCCCTTCGGAGGGACTGGCCTCGCCCCCCAGACCCAGTCTGCCCCTCCCTCCCCTGCCGACGTGCTTCCCGAGCAGCTGCTGGTGAGGCCGTCGGTGCGGATGCGGCGGTGTCCCCACAACCCCAGAATCGCCCAGGAAACAACGCCACATTGGACATGGCCTTGGCACCCTCGGCTTCTAACCTGGACTGGCACTCCGACCCTGAGCATTTTGGCTCTAATAGCATGAAATCAAGTTGTGCCAATTCATTTTACTTCGAAGATCTGAGACACCGGATTTTTGGAGCTCCAAGGAACCTCCATGACTGGCCCATCCACCCTACTAGGTCAGAACCGGGCCCCAGAATAATGCCGGGGTCTGTCTCCAGAGGCAGAACTGAGAGGGACGGCAAGGTCTGGGCCCTTTCTGGTGACCCCAGCCTCTGCGCACTCCCAGGAACTGAACCTGAGGGGCTGGCTCCCCGTGGTCTCTAGCAGCGTCCGGGAAGGGAGCCTGCCGAGACGGCCCTCCTTCCAGCGAGCAGCTGTGTTTTCTGACCTCTGTGCGCACAGGGCTTGCCGAGCTGAACGCTGAGCTGCGATCCGATACCTGGAATTCCTCTCGTGCCACAAAGGAAGATGAGGCTCTCGGGGCAGCACAGGGGGCTGGTGCTCTCCGGCCCCACGTGGCGGGGCACCTGACTCGGGGCCACTTCCCAGAGCAGGTCTTGCAGAGGGGCAGGTGGGAGGGGCTCCAAGGAGGCTGGGGTCACAGGGACAAAGTCCTGCCTAAGCAATGCTGTGTTTGATCGCTTTGGAACTGCTCCTCACTTAAAAAAAATTGACTTTGCCCACGAAGGAAACTGCTGTTGGGCGTCTTCGGGGGGCGGCAGGGGAAGGCGAACAGGCAGGAGGTTCTGACAAATGGGCGGAGGAAGAGGCCTCACCGCTCGGGGAGTCCTGGCGTTATCGATCGCCCGCCACCTGGTCAGGGTGGTGCTCTGTGTCAGCTCGGTCCCCTCCTTGGGGGGCTCAGGGTGCAAGGGGGACCGCAGATCCACAGGAAGCGGGAGGGCGGCCTCCTGCGCCCACCCCTGCGCCCTCCGTGTCAGGATCATGGAACTGAAGGGTGAAGCTGACACACCCACTGAAGGCGAATCCCCGACGCCCTTGCTCTCGGCCCACACACAGAAAGCGGACGCTGCGATGGCGTGCAGAGAGGGGAGGGTGCTGTCCCTTCTCTGTCCTGGGGACAGGGCAGAAGCAGCAGCAGAATGGGATCGGACGGGGCTCTGGTTCACACGCCACCGGGCGTGACAGGCTGACGGCTGCACAAAGCCACCAGTTGCTGACCTTCTGCACAGGGCAGCCACCTTCCCTCGGTCGGTGAGGGGCTGAGCCAGGGGAGGCCTCGAGGACAGAGGCCTTGGGGGAGGACGGCAGGGGCGGGGGCCACTCCCTCTCCACACTTTTCACTGGTCTCTGCTTCCAAACTGCTACCTGAGTGGGGGCGGAGCCACTGCCGCTGTGGGAGGCGAAGAACAGCCCTGTTAGGTCCTGCCCAGCTATAAAAAGTGCCCTTCCAGGCTGCCCCTCTCGTGCGTGCCGCGGGGCTGTGCCAACACCCCCAGGCTTCCGTCCACTGTCCCAGCTCCTGCCTGGTGCCCTCGGTGCCCGGAGACGCCGACCACGCCCAGACTGTCCCTCAGGCCTGCAGCCAGGGGTTCCCTGGAAAGGCGCCAGGAGCCCACCTGCTCCACGCCCCGCCCACTCTCGCCTCTCAGGTGCCGCGGTGGTTTAATACCAGGGAACAAGGGCGACGGGACTCACCCCCACGTGGCCTCGGCGGGGCCTGCGCACAAGTGCTCTCCCTCCCCTCCTAGCAAGTCAGGTTCGGACTCCAGAGGTCGCAGGCGGCCCTCCCAGCACCGCTGCCTACCCCCCACCCCCCACATTACAGGGCTCGCTGCCTACCCCCCACCCCCCACATGGGCTCGGCTGTGTCAGTGTCCTCATCCCTCCCCCACCAAGATGCACCCCCGGGCCCAGCCGGACCCACCCCCTGGGGCGCGCCGCCTGTGCGCCCCTGGAGTTCACTGCACACGGCCTGGGCGTGCTCGGAGTGCCCGCCCCTCTGCCGTGGACACTCGCTGTGCAGTGGGCAGTGGCCGACTGGCCTCCTCACCCACGGGGCATCCCCCGGGGCGGGGCTGCGCTGTGCCGACCTGTGACTCCAACCCAGCAGCGTGCTGGCCAAGAGCAGGAGTCGGGACTAACCGTCAGGTTGATCACTGCATTACACCGACTGCAGCCAGTTCCCACGCCCGCCCCCTCCAGTGGTGGGGGGCCTCCAGCCCTGGCAGCTGGGTGTGCTCGGGAGTCATCACCAGGAGCCTCGGGCGACCGCTATGCTTCCGGCAGCCCAGTCACTGTCACGTGTGGTCACCGCGAGCTGGGCCTTCATCTCCGTCCCGCTCCTCCAGGACTCCTTGCAAGCAGGGACTCATCTGTTCTTTACAACAGTCATGCCACCAGTCACAAAAGTGTCGCCCAGTTGGGGCTCAAAGCTCCCAGCTGAGTGGGGACTCCTTACTCAGTTAATGTCTGTCGTCCCTCATCCGCACCCACGCTGCCTTTCCTACATCAGTGTGAAAAAACAAGAACGATCCTGTCGACAGCTCTCCCAGCCCCTTGGAGTGTGACCCAGGTGGCGGGTTGCGGGGCCTCGAGCTCAGGGGCCAGAGGCCGGTCCGTGGCAGCTCTGAGTCCGGGAGACGAGGCTGCACAGCCGGGCAGCACTCCTGCAGTGGAGGGTGGAGGTGGAGGCGGCAGGGAGCTCGGGAAACCCGCAGTCCGAGCTGGCCTGCAGCCCTGGCCCAGACCTGGTGTGCACTGAGCTCGGTGTCCGTGCTGTGCAGACTGCGGGACTCGGGGAAGTCACTGTGCCCCGCCCCCGGGCCTGCTCCCACCCTGCAGGGCAGCACAGCGGGTGCCTGCTGCTCAGGGGGTGTGCAGGGGTGTGCAGGGGTCACACGACCACGAGTGAGGGCAGGCCCTGTCCACTCAAAGGGACTCCTCATCGGGGTTGGGGGACCGAGAACCGGGGAGAGCCAGCAGACGGAAGCTCCCGTCTCTTCCGGTGGAAAAGGGGGCGTCAGCCCACAGCCAAGCGGAGTCCCCGGGGAGGGAGTGGGGAGTGCAGTGGGGAGGAGGGGAGCAGAGTCTGAGGGAGGGGTTGGGAGAGCTGGGCAGGAGGAGCAACTGCTCAGGGCGTGGGCCGAGGGCGGGCAGGAGTCTCAGGGGAGGGGCAGCCCCAGAGCACGCACAGCTGGGCACTGAGGAGGCTGAAGGGACCAGACGGGGAGCTTGAGGGTCCCCCTGGGAGGTGTCAGGTCCGTCCAATGAGAGGTGTCTCAAAGGGGACCCAGGTCCCCACGGCCACAGCACCCAGGGGCAGGGCGAGGCAGGACCCAAGGGGCTCCCACGGAAAGGAGGGCTGTGTGCCCCCAGGGTGCGCAGTGTGTCCCTGTGTCCCAGCGAAGATGGGACATGGCTTGCTGCTCCCTGCGTATCAGAGCCAATCGGCATGACGTCCTCACAGGGTGGGCCCAGCGGTCATCTGTGCGGTCGGGTAAAGAAGCCCAACTCAGAGGAGGGGGAGGTGGCCCTTGTCAGTGGCTGGGAGGGCGGTGGGCAGTGGGTGCTGAACGGAGACAGAGCTTCGGTTTTGCAAGACGAGAAAGTTCTGGAGACAGTGGTGGGGACAGTGGCACAGACGGCTGTACAACGACACGGGTGCTCGATGCCACCGACCTGGACACTCAGAATGGTTGACATGGGCGGCTTTACCTTACGTACATTTTACAACTTAAAAAGTGAGAAATAAACAAGTAGGAAACCGTGCACTAAGGAGAGTTGACCGTACTCTCTCCTGAGGGGCGCAGAGGAGACGGTGGTGAGCCCCCCGAAGAGCTGCCCCCCCAGGAAAAGGGCCACAGGAACCAGCGCTGCGGGAAGCGCCCACACCAGGCGCTCTGGTCAGGTGACAGCCAAGGGCACCCTCCCAACTCCCTCATGGTGGGTGTGGCCCCGCGATGGGAGCAGAGGACAGGGGCCCCCCAGACCAGGCAGGACGACCTCCACCTGTGCCCAGGGGGCTTCGGGAGCCACAAGGCAGCAGAGCTCAGGTTCTGCGCACCAGGACGCCGTCTCTGACCGGGCATCGGCACCATGAAACAGGCCTGTGCTGTCCCAGCCAACACGCCCTGGGGCGAATCCCTCGCCACAGCCGTCCTGGCCTTCATTAACTCGGCATGGGTGGCACTGGGAGTGACCCCAGCGCCCACTGGCTAGGCTGATGGAGGTCAGGAGAGAGGATTCGGAGGAGAGGAAGGGGAGTAGCCAGAGAAAGCGGAGGCCGGCGGGGTCTGGGGGCCGTGTTTCCGGCTGGGCCCCACAATGAGGGTGACAACGTAAGGATGTGACTTTTCACAAGGCACCTCACACATTATGAACTGGTCAGTCCACCCCATCTGCTGCTCTTGGTCATGAAATTTAACCCGTCCTTGGCTATTTATAGCCACACACACACACACACACACACACACACACACACACCCAATTTCTGTAACTCCAAGCTCCTTCTCTCGCTTTCTTTTTCCTCCAAATAATTTTTAGTTTACTGTGGGGAAGTGTTCTGTGAGAACTGTGTCCCTCTCTGAGCCGCTGCCTGGGCTGTTTAAAAATAAAAGACAGACACAGGGAACACTAACCAGAGGGGACTTCACAGGGGCAACTCCAGGGCTGACTCGGGGCGGCCGGGTCGACGGAAGAAGCTGGGAGACCTGTGGCCATCCAGGCAGCGTTCAGTGAACACGGCTGTTCCCCACAGGTACGGCAGCCCCCCTCCTTCTCCCCACAGGTACGGCAGCCCCCTCCTTCTCCCCAACAGGTACGGCAGCCCCCTCCTTCTCCCCAACAGGTACAGCAGCCCCCCTCCTTCTCCCCGACAAGTACGGCAGCCCCCTCCTCCCCAACAGGTACGGGAGCCCGCCTTGCTCAGTCTGTGCTCCTGTCAGCTCCTGTTACTGCTGGAACGTTCTGAGATGTTCAGATGGGTCTGAGGCCAAAGAACAGACAGTCACTGAAGGCTGCAGTGTGCAGAGACTCTGAAGCCATTCAAGCACAGACAGGTGTAAACAGGATTTATTACAGATGCTGTTAATACTTTTATTATTTCAGCACATAGATCTGTCCAGGGCTTGCAGACTTCACTCTGCAGTCTCGGTCATAAATCTTTGGGCATATTTTAGGCCCTCATTAGAACACCAACGACAGGCTGAGCAAGAAAGCGAATCCACAGCCGAGTGGCTCTTGTACAATTAGGAAGCACACGCCCTCACCCAAAACTCCACCAGTGTCCCACGGCCACAGTTCATCCCCACTGAAGCCTTTTATCTGCAAGGCTCAAAGTGCCTCTGGCGACTGCGGCTCCTTCCAGATTCCCGCGAGTCAGGGAGGAGAGTCCCGTCCACAGGCACTGTGGTCCTGAGGCCACAGTAGAATGGAGCCCCCGTCTTCGTCTGGGGGGCTGCGGGTGACCTTTGCCTGGACCCCAGCCTCCCCGCTGGCCCAGGGGAGGGGAGATGAAGGCGTGAGAGCCAAGCCCGGCTCCAACAAATGATCCCAACCTCTCTGGGCCTCAGCTTGCGCTCTAGCCGAGAAGGGAAGCTGACCCAACAGCCCGACACACAGCAGGCAGTCAGTGAAGACGTGCTGGGCGCCTGGTCTGAGCTGGTCTGCATCGGCCTTCACAGCACTGGTGCTTTGAGGCTCGGCAGCGGCTCATCCAGGTGGCAGTCTGCACGAGTGCCGCCCACCGGCCGCTCTGTGAGCGCCCTGGGTCCTCCTGCTGTGGAGGAGCCCTTGCTGTCCAAGCCACCCAGGCTCCGGGCTCCGCGGGGAACAAGTCTGGGGTCACCGCACACCGGTGCTAGTCCCGGGCGGGAAAGACCCGTTCCCGTGCCCCGCAACCTGCCTGCTCAGTGCACCTGGGTCGGTTTCCCAAATCCCACTGTGCTGTGCTTACAGGCAAACGAATTGCAGCCCTCTGCTCAATACCAAACACTACGTGACCAGCGAGAGGTTTGTTGAAGAGACTTTGTGGCATCTTTTACAGCACTGTCTTGCACACGAGTGCATTACCATGCTCATGGATTTGTTTGGGTTATTTTTAGGAAGCAAATGCTCAGGCTTTTCAACCGGTTGACAGTAAAATACTAGACCTCTGGTTATGAATATCCCCTTTTCAGGAGGCTTTTTGTAACTTTACCAAAAAACCACTTATCAATCAAAAGCTAGAAGACGAAAGGAGTCACTATTCCCTGGATTTAATATTTTAAAAAAACACAATTTACAAATTTACTTGGAAGGCCAAGGTGGTGGCATGACTTCCTCAGGACCTCAACCTGTGGGGGGGGGGGGGGTAGCGGGGCCGGGGAGGGGGCACCTGAGCAGGTGGAACTGATATTTAAGACACTCCTGTCTGACAGCCGATTGCACCCATAAGGCTCTTTCAGACGGTCACTCAGAGCCGAGACGTCCTTGCTCTGCCCACAGTCAGCAAGTAAAACGCAGAGAATCAGAAGTGGGTGCACGTGAGCCGGAGAAGAGCCACTACGGTTCTTGGCCAAACAGCCAGCCAAGAGCCCCCTGCTCTGTATGAAGAGCCAGTGCTCAGGAGCAGAGAGCACAGGCTAGGTAGGGTCCGTGCCCCCCCCTCGGGGGAGGGTGGGCGTGCACTCCATGCAGGAGACACGTGGGAACCTGTGAAGGTGGCAGCTCTGACCGCAGCTTTAAAAGAATCCAGGGGAGGGCGGAGTCGGCATGGGGGGAGCATGGGAAGTTCATGCAGAAGTCCTTTAAGATACTATAGAAATCAGAGCCAGCCCTGTTTTAGAGACAAAACAACAAATGTCTACGTTTGGACAAGGCTTTGAGACCACTGCGGGGCACGTTTAAAAGATTAAAGAGTGTTTTCCCAGGAGAAGAGGTGATCGGGGAGCTCAGAGAAGCTCTACCACCCAAACACCGCGGTCCCCGTGAGGCCCGAACCTGCCTGTGTGCGGAGGAAGGAAGCATCCATGGCGTCTGTCACCGGGCTCTGAGACGCACTGTTTGATTTCAGGCCCCTTGACAAGCCGCTCTGTGACGTGGTAGGGAGGCGAGGACTGGGTTCCGTGGCCCCTCAGCAGCTCTGGGGTCATGACCTGGGCAGAGTTGCCCCCCGCCCATCGGCCCTCCCCACCTGTTCGAGTGCAGGCGTGCTGACCCCTCCCGGCAGAAGGGCCCCGCCCCCCAGGACTTCCCAGAGAGGCCGGCTGTGGCGGGGCTGCGGCAGGGCTTCCTGACTGCTCTGCTCTGCCCTGGTGGGCAAAAGGGCCCAGGCGGCCCTCCAACCTCAGGGCAGAGGCCGTGACAACAGCCACAGGCTGGGGGCCCTGCAGGGGAGCAAACACACACGTAGCACGTGCCCCAGGCCCTGGGGGACGACCGACACTGGCTGGGATTGGAGGGGCACCGGATGACCCCCAACACCTCGAGGCATGGCCAAGAGCAGTGCTCTTCTCAGAAAAGCGCTGAGTTGCAGGGATGGAGTGAGGATTTTTAATGGGATGTGACGTGAGCTTGACGTTCTGTATAAGGTGTGATTTGAAGGCACCAAGACATGGCCCCAACCCCCTCCCTCCAGCAGGAAAGCAACGCGGGAGGGTCAAGGGGGCTTGTGGTCGGTCACCTCTCCCCCAGGTGAGAAACAGGTGATGACGTGCCTGCCAGCCAGATACAGACGTGTGTCCAGGTGCGTGGTCACTGGCAAACCTGTCCCAGATCAAAGACAGAAGGGTTTTCAGAAACAGAGACTCTGTCATTTTCTGATGCCATCCCCAGTGTGACAACTACAAACATGGCAAACTTCTGCAAAGTTTGATTTGCATTATTATGGACATTGTCTCCATCACGGCTTCAGGTCTACGCTCCGACGGCCCACAAACCAGTGGACCCAGCCTTGACCAGCAGTGTTGGAAAACTTCCAGGGCAAACAAGCCCCCAGACGGCGTCACGACATCACGGGCCGCAGAGCCGCCACGCGGTGAGCGGCCCCACGTCCTGTCACGCTTGCCTCACGCAGATGCGAGGGCCGCACGGGTCTCAGGGCTCGGACGGCAGGGGTGCATGGCAACCCCATCAGGAACGGGTGGGTGTTAAAGTGTGCTACCTCTGCGTTTGATGTGGTTTTTGCTCATGGATTCACACAAGTGGTTTCAATGATGGCTGTGTTGAACAACTGCCTCACAAACTCCTGGAAACTGAACCCCAGCCCTCGAGAACCAGCAGGAGCCTGACCCCCGCCCAGCCCTGGGCCGACAGACGCCCTCGGCCGTCCAGTCCACAGAGAGCAGCCGGAAGACTCTCGGCCGGTCAGGGAGCTCCCTGCAGCTGGAGCCGGCGGGGCCGCTTTCGCTGAGAGCCAGGCCTGAGCCCACCACCTCTGAGGACCGACCTTCCAGTCCAAGCAGCACCCCCACTGCCCTCGCCTGGGCTTCCCACCTGCGGGGTGGGATTTCAGGCCGTGGGACACGGAGCCGCACCCCATCACAGTCCTTTTACATGCCTCCCTGGACAGCGGGACTGTTCCGGGAGCTGAGCCATCTGCCAGCCCCTCGGGAGCTCAGGAGGCACCGACAGCTCACGGGCCCCCCTGCGGGAGGGGGAGCCCTGGGGCCACTCTGAGAAGCTGCCCCGTGTGGAGCAGGACTCTTTGGGGCGTGGGGGGAGGGGAAGCGGCGCAGTTCCCACAGCAGGGGGTGCAGGGCCTGGCCTGTGGGCTGGGAGCGGCCTCCACCAAGACCAAGCCCGGAGGCTGGTGACTTTCCGAGGCTGGGGACCCTGGCCTTGGGGCCCGAGGCCGCCCAAGAGGCATTTTCTTTCCTTCTGCCGGAGTTTGGAAACCTCCGTTACTCCGTTTTTTCAAGCCCCTCATCCATCTTCAAAACAGTCCTGGAAGAGAAAACAAAGGTGGTTTGTGAGCAGGTGACAAGGGTGGGAATGGACAGCAGCCTCCTGTGGGGCCGCGGAGGCTGGGACAGAACCAGCTAGGCCGACCAGACCCCCACTCTGTGTCCTGCGGGTGCCCGGACAAGGGCGAGGCTGAAGTCCCCTGCTCCTCGTGAAAGTGGGGGTGAGGACGGGGGCACGAGAGGCACTGAGGTGTTTGTCAGCCTGCTGGGTTTGTAACGCGCCTCGTCTTTTCTGCCCAGTAGAACTGAGCCGCACGGCACCCGAGGGCCAGGTGCCCGGGAGGCAACAAGGAGCCAAGGCCCCCCTGGGGGGTCAGGCTTGACCAGGAAAGCACAAGGCTCAGACGGGGGGTTTTGCCAGAGCGCCAAACACCTCATTCTCCTAGGCATTTGAAAAGTTCTCCTTCCTTTTCCAGGCATTTTGGGGAGAAGGAGCTGCACGAGGTGAGCCTGGCACAGACCAGGCACAGTAGCACCAGCCTCCACCCCTGGGGGCCCAAGGCCCCTGGTCCTCCGAGGGGGACACGCCCCACCCTGTGCTGTTCAGGCCGAGCTGTGGAGGACAGGGACGCTTGTGCAAAGACAGTCGACATAACAGTATGTGTGGTGTAAAACCGAGAGAGAACACGCATGTACATATATGTAAGCTATTACACTGACTTCAGAAGTTCTGTGAGGTCACTGGGGAAGGGTGTCTCCGCCTACTCGGGCTGCCACCGCCGAACTCCCCGTGCGGGAGAGTGTGCACCACCGCCCACTGCTCACCGGTCTGGACGCCGAGCCGTCCAAGAGCAAGGTGTCGGCAGAGCTGCCTTCTGCCGCGGCCCACCTGCCGCTCTGCTGGCACCTCCGCCCTGGGCTCTCCTGTGGTGCCAGGGGCCGGGGGGTCTCTGTGGTGACTTTCCCAAGGGCCTGGACCCCCTTCTTGAGAGATGGCCCTCGTGACCCTCACACCTCCCGCAGGCCTTCCTCCTAACCTTGCCATCCTGGGGGTTAGCATCTCGGCGTGTGAACTGGGGAGGGCGGCACAAGCATCAGGCCACAGCGGTAGGATGAGAGGTGAGAGGACAGAGCGGCTTCTATTTTTATCTGTAATGTTCCTGTTTGTTCCAATTTTTCACCAAGCATATTTTTTAGTATTTTCAAATTAATAAATAAACATGTGGCTCTGGCCACACATGCTGGATGCTAAGCCTTCCCCGGTGCCCGAGAAGGCAGCCTCTCCCGAGTCAAACCCAGTTCCCGTGACCCAGCCCTTCCCACGGAGGGCAACCTCTGATGCACAGGGACGCTCCGCACTGGGCGTCACCTCCAGTCCCCTCCCCAGCGACCCCTTCACAAGGAGAAACACTGGCGTCCAGGGAGCAGAGGTGGGTGTGGCACAAGTGCTACCTACTTCCTGCGCCTTGTCCAGGGCTGGCCCTGCTGGGCGGGAAGCAGGTGCCCAGACACCCGCCGGGGTGACGCCGGCGGGCCCTGCTCCCCACGGACTCGCCGTGGAGAGCCCCGCCCCAGGGCAGGATCCCAGCCCCAGGGCACTCCAGCAAAGGCAAGGCTGCGAGGACAGCAGCCCAGCCGTGGCCGCTGGGGGGTGGGGTGGGCGGGCGAGTGACCGGGCAGGGTGCTGAGGAATTGCGGGCAGTGAGACTTCCTGCGGGTCACAACGATGGGTGTGTGTCACTGTGCATTTGTCCACACCCACCAGACACCCAGTGCCAAGAGGGAGCCTCACGCGGACCTCGTGGGAGCGGCAACATGACGATGTGTCGGGGCGGGTGTGTGCATTGTGTGTGCGGTGGAGAAGGGGGTGCTGAGGGGGTGGGGCGGGGAGCGTGGGAACCTCACGCCTGCTCCCAGACAACGGGAGGTCCCAGGGCAGGCTGAGGGATGCTTCTGGATGAAGGGCGGGTGCTGGGCGAAGACCAGTCCGGCCCCAGGCACTGGTGCCGCAGCAGCGGGTGGAAGGGCTGCTGCACTCGCTGCTCCCCGGCTCCCCCCGGCTCCGACCTCCCACCCTCTCGGGACCCCTCAGGGTTTGGCCGGCTCCCACCTGGAATTTCACTTTCGTAGGTTTGGGGATAGAGGAAGGCTTTCACTGCTTACTCCACATGTATTTATAACCTGGAATTTTGTAAGAATACTTTCACGCATTGTCTCTATTAAATAAAAAAACTCTGCAATATTGTATCAGTGAAGCCTCTGATCCCACCTGAAACCCACTGCTGGGGTCTGGGGCGGGTCCCTCTGCCCGGCGTCTTCCTGCCTCCCTCTTCGCCCTCCTCCCTGCTCTGCTCTGCCGCCTCCTCAGGCCTTGTCCCAGGGGACCTGCACTGCACCTCCCCAGGCCTCACCCTCCTCTGTTCCTCCAAGAGACCCAAGCTCACTCAGCTTGCGAGGCGCCCGGGGTCTCTGCGGGGACCAAGGAGACAGTGCGCCCAAACACCCGCCCCCTGCCATTCTCTGCCCTGCAGAGCGGCGCCCCCACCCTCTCTCTGCCGGCCCTCCTCGCTGCCTCTGGGGCCCTGACGAACACACCCCTTCCCCTTTCACGGAACCTTAGACCAAGCCGTGAGAGACGCACGGCGATCCAGGGTCCCCTGACCCTCAGACTCCCTGTAAGGTCCCCACCACCCAGGCAGGGCTGTCTGCGGGCCTCGCCTCTCCGCTGGGCAGCTCCTGCTCTCTGCTGCCCCGTCCACTGCGGGGAGTGCTGCCCTCGGGGCCCAAGAGTCCAGCCGCCTGGGAAGACAGCTGGCCGCCTCTGAACCTGAGCCCCGGACTCCTGGGCAGAGTCTGCCCGGAGGAAGAGGGGCTGGAGCGGCCATGAGGAAGGGGGACGGCCCGCGGCGAGGCGCCCTTGGGTGCCGAGCCTCACGGAATGGATGAGCAGCAATCCCCTGGGCATCTGAGGGTCACGTGCACCCTCAGAAAGAGTCGGTTTTGCTGTTTTGTTCTGACGGAAGTGAAACAGAACGCAGGCACCGGAGTCGGACTGATTTGGCTTTGAAACTCGGCCCCGTCACTCAATGAAACGTTGACAGTCACGGGCCCCCAGCCCCTCCTCTGAGGACGGACGGGGATGGGCCGTCCAGGGGGTATGTGCGGGGCCGTGCTGAGTCTCCCCCACACAGGGAGAGGCGTCTGCCCCCAGCGCCGCCTGGCACGTCACCCCTCGCAGGCCCTTCTGGGGCCCCAGGACCCTCCGAGTGAAGAGTTGTCTCCTCAAGGGCACATCAGAGCCCCTAAGGCCCCTCTGTTCTCTGCGCTGCTCACCCTGGTCACCAAACCGGGGCAGCTCCCCGCCCACCCCCACCACCCTGTGGGCCTCGGGTTTGCCCCTTCTGGGACAGTGCTCCCAACAGGCTTCCCTGGCCGTCACCTGTGCCCACGGCCGGACCGAGTCCCTTCCGTGGGCTCCCAGACAGGGACCGACTCAGCCTTCCTGGGAGCAGCCCAAGCAGCCTCGACAGCCGGCAGTCAAGGCGAAGTGCCTCTCCAGAGCCGGTGGTCTCCGCCCTAGAACGACCCTCAAAACACAGGAAACCTGAGTCATTCACCCCACCCCAGGCCCTGAATCTCTCTGCCTGTCCCCTTCATCAGGAGACAGGGTCCCGAGAGCGTGTCATCCCACGGCACCCTCTGGTTTGTCTCTGTTCTCAAAGCCTGCAGCTTGAGGGCGCAGAGCAACGCACACCTCGCAGGAACTCACCTTTGGGTGCTCGGGTCCCCGGACAAGATGACCAGAAGCCACATGGCTTTCGCCCGCCCGCCCGGCGGCGTCTGTTCCCGACTGTGGCCTGAGCCCGAGCCTGCGGGCTCGCCAAGCCTTGCAGGGGTTTGCTGTCTCTCTCACAGTGTGCATAGTGGGGCTACACCTCGCCCACGCGGTGTGACGTCAGGGCTGCAAAGTGTGGCAAAGTCCTCCCCATTTATTTAACACGGTGCCCGGAGCTGTTCATGCTCCATTTAAAGGGCGACAAGGACTCGCCTCCATGGCCAGACCATGAGGCCAGAGACCGGCACTGCCCAGGCCGGTGGCCACCTGAAGATGAGCTCGGGAGCCGAGGGGCCCTCTGGACACACTGGCCAGCTTGACCGGCAGGTCAAGCAGGTCCCCTGTCATCACTGTGCAACAAACAGCGCTTCGTCCACCAAACCTTTCCCCCAGCCCTGGGGCTCAGGGCACCGGGGCTTCCCAACAAGCCCCTGGGCAGAGCTCCCCTCGGGCTGAACTCGGGCCTCGCTCACTCTGAAGCAGGATCCCACATCCGACGCTCAGTGTGTGGCTTCCCAGAAGATTTGGAAACATGCTTGATGTGGGTACGGGATGGAGACGGGGGAATTCTTGCGGCCCAGGGGCAGGGGAGGGCTCCAAACACAACAGAAGGCTTGGCACAGCCGGGCAGCACCCTGCCAAGACCTCCCGTTGCTGGTGAGCCCGTGCATGTTTCAAATGCAGCTCAGGCCTCAGTCCAGCAGTGACCAGCAGTGTGCAGTGGGGTCAGCCCTACAGTCCGATGCCTAAATGCTGCCCCCACTTTTTGCTCTCTTCCCCCCATCCAATGTCTACTTCTCTGTCCCAGTCTGGTCCCTTTCCCCCGAGACTGCTCTCTGGTCTTCCGTGAGCACTCCAGCCCGCCGCAGCCCCGCATTTGGGACAGGGCAGCACTTGCCACTCGAGTGGGCCAGGCCCTGTGCAGCCTGCAGCACCTTCCGAGCGGCCCCCACTGCCTGTGTGTGCACAGCACAGTCAGTGCAGCCACAGCGCTGCCGGGAGAGGAAGTCGTGGCTGTCCCTGCCCACTGCACTTGGGGGCACATGGTTCGAGACTTTTTGACCCAGAAGGGGGGCAGACGTGTGACCGCAGATGCTGCTGGGTCCCCATGAAGGGCACAGCCACCCAGCTGGGACTGGACGTGGGACATGGAGTCTGTCTGCCATGGCTGACTCAGACACCTGGGTGGCCTTGCTGTCCAGCAGGGGAGCTTCGCACCTGTTTTCCGAGCTTTGGAAAGAAGGAAGAAGGAGACAGACGTGCCCGGATTTCTGGGTTCTAGGCAGCACCGCACACCAGGCGGGCCTGTGCCAAACACAGGAAACCAAACTGCCGCCTCTGCACTGCGGGCAGACACTTCAGCCAGGCCACAGTCTGCAGGTGACACCTCTCTGCTGGTCTGCCCCACCCCGAGTTTCCCACGCCGTCCGCGGACAGAGCTCTGTCCACCTCTGAGGACACACGTCAGGCAGCTCCCCTCGTGCGTGGTTTCTGTTCCTCCTGCTGAGACCGGCGCCCCCTCCGCGGGCCCCCTGCAGGCCGAGGCGCCCCTCCGCACGGTGCCCGCCACACATCTGTGCATGGACAGCAGCCCCCCTGCCCACAGAGGGACGCTTGAGGCAGGCAGAGGCAGTGGCCACTGGGTGAAGGGGTGCGTGGCCATTGACTCTTGACCCCGCGTCAAGTGGGGGTTCCAGTGGAAGCTGCTGTCTTGTCCAGTCTAAGGGCAATGGCGTGGACCCTCCTTTGTCTGCTGCGGCTACAACTGAGCAGCAGTTCTGTGGGGGCAAAAGCAAGGACGGGGCCAGCGGGGCGGGTGCGGCCCCAGGGACAAGCTCGGTAACCTCAGGACTTCTCCCCTTGCAGCCAGAGAGCTGAGGACAGAGCCTCCTCTCGGACCAGAGAGAAGCGTAAGGGGAAGTGCAGGCGGGATGGCCAACGGGCCAGGCCCCGGCCCCACACCAGGCTCCACCTTGTGTCGTCAGGGTCCGTCCCAGCAGCTCTGCTTCCCTCTGTGGCCCGTACAGTCCTCAGGCCCGTGCCATGTGGCAGCGGAGCCAATGGCCACAGCTGCCTGTGTGCAACCTACCCAGTTGGCAGCCTCGGCAAAGGTAGTCTCTCCCCCAGAACTTCCCCCAGATCTTCCAGGGTTGACCGTGATGTGGCCCGATCCGTGTCCCATCCTCTGCACCCCCACCCCCCAAAGCCAGGAGGGCAGAGGGCCAACCAGAGAGCTGTGGCCACCATGAGACCAAGGCGCCTCTGAGGGCAGGTCCGCCCCACCGACCTCACGTGCGAGCGGAGAAGGGTGGTCCTCCAAGGAAAACGGAGCGTTACCAGGACGGGGGTGTGGAGGCCGGGCAGGAAGGCGGCCCTGTCCCCACCAGGGGCTCTCTCCAAAGGCCCTCTCTCCATTTTGCAAGACCCCCGGACCCACGCCAGGCTCCCGGGCTGCGTGAACGGCAGGGTTCTCGGGTGCCTCTCTGAGCGGCACGGCACAGACAGGATCACAGGGCCCCAGTTCCGAGTTTCGGCCGAGACTGGGAGAGAAAGGAGAAACCGGCCGGTTCCGGGTCCTCGGCAGGGGGAGGAGGAAGGACAGACGCCCGGGGTGCGAGCGGCGGAACCGCGGGGCAGCTGGGGAGGAAGCGGCCCCCTCCCGTGTGTGTGCGGAACAAGAGCGGCACCTTTCCGGAGCCCCAGCTGCTCCTCGGCCTTCCCAGCCGCCCCAGGGGAAGAATGAGGCTTTCACGGCGGGTGTGGTGGCAGGCTGGCGGCCACCCAAGCCCAAACAGTGCCCCATTGAGGGGCCCCAGGGCCAGCCGGGTGCCTCTCCCTTCCCCTGCTCCCCTGAATGGGCCGTTTGTGGGCTGAACAAGGACCAGGAGATACCCTGCCGCCTCCTGCGAGGCCGCAGCTGCGGGCGGGCCTCCTTGGGAGCCCCTCGGCCCCGCATCCCTGCCGAAGCCGACAAGAGGGGCACAGGGTCGGGAAGGTCCCCGGGAGCCTCGGGTGAGAGAGAAGCACTCCTCAGTTCTCTCCCACCTCCCAGGCCTCTCTGCCAGCCGCAAGGGTGGTGGCTCTGTACCCCAAAAACACTTGGTGCCCTGTCCACCTGCGGTCAAACGCCTCCCTGTGCCACTCTCCTTGCTGGCTGGAGAGAGAGAAGAGAGCGGGGACGCCCCCCTCCCCTGAGACCAAGTTTAAGATCAGGACCGCGCTCAGCCTGGCTCCACACCCTCGGCCTGGGGGGGATGGCCAGACACCCCGGCCCCACCCCGCATCACAGCCTCGTCCTCACTGGCCGTTCGGTCCCAGAACCGTGCGAGAGCGGCTTCTGCTGTGCCCTCAGGGAACCTGCTGCCTGGGGATGAGCGGCGGGCCTTGTCCCGGCCATCTGTTCCCACGGGCCCCAGGGCTTCCCGGCACACTGTGACCACGGAAACACGAGCTGCTCTGTCCTCACCACCCCCTGTGGGAGCCCGTGACCGCACGTGGGAGTCTCCGTTCTCGGCACTGGCCCAGGTCTGCAGGTTGAAGAAGCCTGCCATTGGGGGAAATGTGCTGACCTACACACTTCTCTGGGCTCGGGACATCGACCTCACAAGGAATTAATGCTGTGATGTGACGCAGAGAGCCGGCTGGGAGAGAGGGGACAGCCCAGCCCCGGAGACGCACTGTGCCGACTCCCCCGTGGACAGAATCTGAAGGGGGCTCCCAAGCAGCCCCCACACACCCCCTTCGCAGAAGCTGGCTCCGCCTCTCCTCCGAGTTCAGTCCACCAGAAAGACCCTAGTCCCGGAGGACCTCCCCTGCACCAGCCCCTAGACGTCGCCCGCCCCCACGCCAGCACCCGGATGGAGCCACTGCCCCGGTCATGCCCACGGGCTGGGTGCTCCCACTCCAGGGAACCCTGACCGTGCGGACGAACGTGTCCGCCCGGCAGGTGCTCGGGCCTCCTCCGGCCTCTTCGGGCTAGCGCGTGTCTTCCGCAATGCCCGCTGGCTGGCGGTCTGACGTGCTCAGGTTGTCCGGGCCCTGCAAAGGCAGGGCCGCAGCTGGGGTCTGCCCCGCCACTGTCCTCGTCGGGCGGCAGGAGCCTCAGCAACGCAGGCCCTGAGTCGACGGGCACTGAACTTCCCGGTGAGAAACTCGCAAGACTTCCCACATGAACTTGGTTAGCCCACCATCTCCACTCGATTGGGTTTTATTTTTAACCCGAGATCTAATATTCATTTTTTATTCAACTTTAATGTATTACTTTAGCTTTGGTCCATCAGTCTGCTGTGTGGGGTTCTTTCAGGAATGTCGATTCAGTGCGTGCAACCTCTTACACTTACATAACCTACAAATACCCAAACATGACCGTGTTCCCTCAATCCAATTGTCAGCAAGCGTGAAGGCAAAACCGGCACACTCAGACCGGGGCGGTCGCCCCATCAGAGAGCTTGGGGCACAGGGTCTTAGCCCCGCCCCCTCCGCAGGCACAGAGGCCCTGCCCCGAGAGTTCAGTCCCGCCTCCAAGCCAGAGACCCCCCTGCAGAGAAAGCGCGTGTGCGCCTTCCCCCAGCTGGTCTGGGACAGGGGAGCTCAACACGGTTTCTCCTGCTGCTCGAAAGTAGAAGCCTACGGGTGCAGCAGATGCCAGGACCTTTGGCCCTGAACTACGCATGAGGTAACCAGTCCCTAATCTTTAAAGGAGATTATTTTTTATCAAAACAGCCTTCCCAGCAAAACCCTAGTGCTCCTTTCTAAAACACATTCCCCAGTGAAAATCTGCTCAGCCAGCAAGGCACCGCCTCTGCACTGGTCCTGGGGCCTCCAAACCCGCCCAGAGAGACACCGCTTCTCCTTCCCAGGGAAAACCAGAGCGACTCTGTCCATGGCTCGCAGACACTGGCTTGAATCCCAGAACCCGGCCTGTGCGCAGCCAACCTGAGTGCTAAAGCTCGGCCGCTCTGGGGGCGGGAGGTCCCCACGAGGGCTGCACAAACAACGTCAGGCCAAGTCATGGGAAAGAGCACTCGGTCCCCAACCTGACGTGTCCCTTAGCCCTTCCCAGCTCTGTGCCCAGCAGAGTCTGAGTGTGAGCTGAAAAATGGATTAGATAATAACATGAGAATAAATAAGGCACTCACTTTGGGGTTTCTACTGTAAAAAAACTGAAAAGGAAGACATGGCTAAGCTCCTGATTTGAGTGCGTGTGATCACGGATGCACAGCCAGCAGGGAGACCCAAGTAACGCGATCGCCTCTGGAACCCGAGCCCGTCAGACGCCGTCCCTTTCCGCAAAGGTCCTACTACAGAGTGAGCACGGCTCACCCTGCTCCATGTCGGCCTTACACAGCGGAGTTTCCGCTGGGTCGATACATTGTACACCAGTAACCAACGAAATGTTGTGTGTCATCTGTATCACAAAAAAGCTTTTTCAAAAAAAGTTTTCCTCTTTAGAAGGGGTTTACTTCTCTTCAAAAGCCCTGTTCAAATCCTGCTCTCCTCTCCATCATTCTGTTCTGACAAAATATGACTCCCTCACTCAGGTCCAATGGTGACACTTCCCCTGCAAGTCACCAAACCCATCCCTGGTAACATCTCCCGTCTCGTCCCTCTCCCATCTCCCATTCCTTCTTTCATTACTTCTCTGGAAGATGCCAGATACTCCAGGCTTCCTGTCACACACACACACACACACACACACACTGGTTTCAGGTTTTCGCAGGATCGGCTCAGGCTGCTTCTCCTGCAGGATCGGCTCAGGCTGCTTCTCCTGGGGCCCGCCCACCACCACCCCTCCAAACCCCTGCTCCGGCTCCTCCCAGGGAGCTCGGCCCTCCTGCCCTCTCCTCTGTCCCTCACACTTATGCTGACCTTGCTCTGTCCTTCCCCGAGTCACCGCCAGCCCAGGGCCCTGTTACATCAGACTCACACTGAAGGTCTGGAAATCTGGGAAAGAACGCGCAGCATGAACTTGAACTCTGGCACCGCTGCTGCTGTCTACCTATGGTCAGCGGTCCCTTCCTGGCCGAGTCACAGGGACCCAAGTACCACATCCCTTCTCCCTGCCCAACAAGGGAACATTAAAAAAATAAGAAGAAAACCACCAACCAAAAATCTATGATAATTCAGCCATCCTACAACACAGATATATCTGCAGCCAGGGTTTGCAGTAGTGATTTTTAAAATTTAGCAAGCAAGGATTTTTTCATGACGTAAAGATACCAAATTACTGACTTTTTAAAAATCACAGTAGATCTACGTGATAATGGTATTCAGGTATTTAAGGTTATTCTGCATCCTCTGAGCAGTAATTGCAGCTTCCTTCATTCGTGCAGAAATCATTTGGGTCAGCACATAATGTTAAAGAAAGCCAGGGCTCGGGGCTGTATACAGAGTATGATTTCAAGTCTGTAAAAGCCCCAGAAGGGAGTGTGCCAGACCACCCCGGGCTCTCGGGAGCTCGGGGGGCTGCCATTCTCTGTGGAAGGCTCTGTGCTCGGAAAGCCCCCCAGTAGCCCCCACCTTCTATGAGCACGCAGACCTCGGGGCTGCCAGATACGAACACCTGCCTGGCGGAGGCGAGGCCACGTTCAGGCCGGAGCCAACCCTATGCCATAGACATGCCTCATCCCACAAGATTCAGCCTGAGCCCACCCACTGCCCCTTCCCACCGGGCAGCCGGTTGCTCCCCCACCCCAGCCTGTGACACTCTGCACAACCTCGTTAGTGCTTCTCACCCGTGAGTGAGTCGGGGCCTCGCCAGAGAGACAATAGCAGCCTTGTACTGAAGAGAGTTTACTATGGAGTCTGTTGGTGCAAAAGCGGGGTGCAGGGAAACCACAAAAGGAGGTGCACGCCCAGAGAAGACAAGAGGGCTCTGTGAGCGCCCTGGCCTGAGGAGGGGGCAGGAGGGGTGGCCCCGAAGCCAGGAAGAGGCGGGAGGGGCGCTGAGGGGGTGCAGCCAGAGACGGCACACCCCTGGTGAGGGGCGGGGCATCCCTTCACGCTCCTCCCTCCCTTCAGGTACCTGCACCGCTCATCCTGGGATGAGTTCACCTGGAAGCCAGGGCAAAGGGCCCTGTGACATGGTCCATGGCGGGCAGCCTCCAGGAAGAAGGCAGGGAGGATGGTGGGTGGACCTGGAGGAGCAAACCCAAGGCACAACATGGTGACGTAATTTCTGGATGGCAGACATGCCCCTGGGTCTGTGCCCGAGGATCTCCTTCCTTTAACATGGCCGAGCATAGAAAGCTCAAGGGGGCTCCCACACATGGCCAAGTCCAGCTTCTCTCAATGGGCTCGGGTGCACGCGGCCTCCCCGGGGCCGGGCATGCTGCAGCTGGCCCGGGCCCTCCTCCCGATGACCCACTTTCTCCCGCACTGGACACCAGCCACTTCCTTCCTTTTTCTTAAATCAGCAGGAATTCAAGGGTTATTGTGTAAATCACGCTCCTAACTCACCTAACTGAAGGGGGAGGCAGGGAGTGACCGGGGCACAGAGGGACAAACAACTCCGAAACCCCCACCAGGCGTCACATCATAAACAGTCACTCACCGTCCTCTCCCG